GCATCTATATACTTAAAGTTTAATTAAAGGACACAAAATAAGCAAAAAATATGCACTATATAGCAAAAAAATGAGTATTATAAAGGAAAATAAGAGACAAAAGGTAGGAAAAATCCTTAAGGAGGTGATATCTTAGGGGAGATTGGAAAGAATAATCAAATGAGTCATAAGAAAGACTTGAAGACAAAAAGACCCAAATCCATGCCTCCTCTCGGAGAAAAAAGGTGTTCGTTTAAAAACCTGCACAGCATTTTATTGACTATGCAAAAGTATTTAACGGTATGGACCACAATAAATTGTGGATAAAATTGAGAAGAATGGGAATCGCAGAACATTTTGTGGTGGTCATGTGAAATTTATACTTTGACCAGGAAGCAGTCATGAGAACAGAACAAGGAAACAATGCATGGTTCAAAATCAAGAAAGGTGTGTGTTAGAGATGTATCCTTTCTCCGTACCTTTTCAGTCTATATGCAGAACAGATCATTTGGGAGGCTGGGCTTTATGAACAAAAATGTGGCATCAGGATTGCAGGAAGACCATCAAAAATATGTGCTTTTTCGATCCCGTGCAGCGCTACAAGATGCTCATCCCGCAGAAAAAAAAAATATGTGCTTTACACATGATGCTACCTTGCTCATCTAAACTGAGGAGACCTTGAAGTGTTTGCTGCAGTTTGACTGCAGTCCTTAATATGGATTATATCTCAACATCAAGAAACTGAAATTTCTCACCATTGGGCAAATTGGCAACATTATAATAAATGGAAAAAATTTAAATTGTTAGCAATTTACAGCTTGCTTGGCTTCACATTTAACACTCTTGGCATCAGAAGTCAGCAAACCAAAAGAAGTATTACTTAGGAGAAAGCAACAAGGTCAGTCTAGAGACTAAGGTGTAGTCTTTGCAATTACTTACTATGCATCTGAGAGCTGGACAATGACTAAGGATGATGGAAGAATCAATGGTTTCAAATTGTGGTGCTAGAGAGGAATACTGAGCATGGACCACCAAGAGAACAAAAAGATCTGTCTGGGATTGGGTGAGACCAGGTTGTTCTTAGGAGGCAAGAATTTTGAAACTCCATCTCACATACTTTGGGCATGTGGCCAGGAGGGACCAGTCCTTAAAAGGACATTATGCTTGGAAGGGTGCAGGGACAGAGCAGGAGATGAAGACCGACTGAAGATTAGATGAGATGGATTGGCACTGTGACTGCAGCAATGGGAGCAGATGTGTCAGAGACATGGAGGTCGCTTCAAGATAGGGCAGGATTCTGAGCTACTGTTCAAAAAGTTATGGGTCATACTCTACTCGACAACATATAAGAACACCAGATTAGTTTGGTTCATAGACTCTTGTGGTAAATAATTTATGTTTTCCCTTTAGATATAAAACTGTTCATGAGCACCTGTTTCAGTAACTCTTTTGTGGGCTTATTTTGGTCCAATACAGCACCCTATAGAATAGTTAAACAATACATAGGATGTTGCTACCAAAAATGAGCTTGTCATATTTCACTGCTTTATCAAGTCTATCTCACATCCAACTAACTGCGGTAAAGGTTTTTAAAAATATACCCTGGCTGATGCAAGAAAATGAAATAAATTCCTTGACTTGAATAATTATATTTAATTGGAAAGTTAAGATGTGATTGTGAAAAAAGGAGGAAATAAGATTGGGTTTTACCAAATTCACAGGTTATCTCTTCAGCTTTTATTTTTTGAATAAAAATGCTGATTTTTAATAAAATGAGAGATACATTTATCCTTAGTTAAAATAACATTGAATCATTTAATTGGCAGTGGTTCAACTTGGCACAAAAAAGCATTTTGTGCTCATGATCCTAAGACAGGGAGTAGCATTGACTGCTGTGATCCCAAGGACAGGCAACTTGAGTTTGAGGTCTCATATCCACCTAAGACAGGCAGCATCCCATATTTTATTATATTAAGAGGGAGGGACTGTCAGGGCCTGGCTAACCTACAGAGCAGGATCAGGGATGCATAGTAAAAAGAGCAGGACAACTCATCTTCCCTTGACCATCCTTTCTACAGTAAACAACTCCAGGAAGCAGTATGCTAATGAATAAGGAGGGACCAAAGGCTTCAGAATTCTAGGAATGTGATACCTTCTTGTTTTCCAATAGATATCATAGGATATCCTGGAAGATGTCTTTGTTTTGTGTGAATGTCTGGGAATGTTCGATCTACCTGCAGGCATGTTCCTAAGACGTGTATATGCACCCTTGCCAGAATATTAAACTTGCTATTTGTCACCAGCAAAAAAAGAAAGCATTTTGGTTTAACTCCTTTTCTAGTTGCTACTTATGTCTGAGCAAATGAACGTAAGAAAGTCATTATGAGGATCATGTGAGATGCTCTTGGTGCTAAGGGCCTTGCCAATTGCTTCAATAATAGTTCCTAGTTTCCACTAGAAAGAATGTAAATATCACAGTCTGAAGAAAAGAATTTGAATCCATTCTACTTTATATGTATAGACCATTATGAAGGCCAATCATTCAACTACTTTGAAGTTCTTATCCTTTAAAATGTATTTTTATCATAAAAACAATTTTTATTATGTCTTTAAATAATATACCTTGGACTACAGCATCTACTGAATAATGTCTTTTCTTCCATCTCCAATAACCATATCAATGGGACTAGCACAATGCCTGCTTTTGCTCCTTTCCTTATCCATTGATATCAATGGAATCAACTTACAGAGATGTTAAAAACAAACAAAGAAAACCACCCCAACCAAAAACAAAACAATCCATTATGTATGTAGCAAATTGTTTACCATGGCATATTTGTGTGACCACAATAAGACATCTAGTGACAAAGTATGTTGATAGTCTCTTTAATGCAATTTTGGAAGGAGTGGCATCCACGTCCTAAACAACATGCCTCTGGAAACTATGAACTTTGAGAAAGGATAGCTACAGAAAAACTTCAGGTCTTTTGTTCATAGAGTCGCTATGAGTGGTGCTCAACTTGACAGCAATCACCAGCAATGCAATTTTAGAATATGAATTTTATTTGTCATTGCTTATAATTTTACTTGGGAGTTCTGGTGGCCTAATGGCAAGAAGCTGTGCTGCAATATGGAAAGCACAGATTTGAGGCCACCAGCGGCTCTGGAGAAAAAGATGGGAAGTCTTCTCCCGTGTGATTAACTGCCTCTGAAAACCCACCAGAAGCTCAGCTATGGATCTGTTCTGACTCGATGGTACACAACAACGACTATAATTTTGACTTTTTTTTTTTTTAATGGAGCATTTCATTGTCTCTGGGTGCTTCCAAGAAAGAGACTGTTGGCCCTTTGTCAAGACTCTTGCTAACGGCACCACAGAGGTGTCTGTCAGCCAGTGCCAGGCAGGATGGCAGCCTCAGGGCCTGGCAAGACAGCCAGTACAGGGGCTTGTGCTTAAGACTAGTGGGTAAGGAGTGTCACCTTTGAATAGAGCAGAGGGGGCTACTGTCAGGGGAGAAGGTGTAGCAATTGGGAGAAAAAGGATTCTAACGTCAGAAGGTAACAAATGGCAGGAAACTGGTTATTCAGTCTTTCGTGGCCTGGTGAGGGCTGCGGGAGGCGGTGATGCAGTTTAGTGGGAGAATCATGGTAAGATTGGCTCAGGTCCACTTCAGGAACTGCAGTGTTTTTTTCCACGGCCCCCACAAACAGCTCATAGTCCCCACAGTACTGGATTCCATTGGCAGCATAGGGCGGGAGGCCTTGAAGTTGCCCTCAAAGCTCATATCTCATCTCATACAGTGTTGTTTTGGGAAATGTCCACCATCAAGCACTGGATGTGCTTCTTGTCCAAGGGTTGGAATCACTTCACTCTGCTGGGACTTGATGTCATGGGAGCCAGTGACTGACGTGCTAGAGATGCTCAGGCCACTCATCCTGCATCTGGACCACCAATGGATGGACAGATGGATGAATGTTGTTGTTATGTGCCGTCATGTTGCCTGCGACCCATAGTGACCCTAAATACGGCAGCTCTGAACTATGAAGCCTGCTCTGTCCTGAGCCAGTCTCACTAATCCCAACACACCAACCCCTATTGCCCCAGTTACTACATCAATCCATCTCATGTGGAATCTTCCTCTCCTGCGCTGTATGGAAATTATCAAGCAAGGTTAAACACAATTTGTTGTGACCCACACGGTCAAATACCTTTTCATATTCAATGAAACACAGACATTCCTCTGGTACTCTTTGCTTTCTGCCAAGATCCATCTAACACTGGCAATAAATAATGTCTTTAGTGCCATGACCTCTTCTATACCCAGCTTGTACTTCTGGTAGTTCTCTGTCAATGTACTGTTGCAGTAATTTCTGAATAATCTTAGCAGGATTTTCACTAGTGTGTGATATTAGTTGTATTGTTTTATAATTTCCATACTCTGTCAGGTCACCTATTGTTGGTTTTTTTGGTTTTGTTTTTTTTTAATGTGAATAAATAGGAATCTCTTTCAGTCTCTTGGCCAGGTAGTTTTCCGCCAGATTTCTTGGTACAACCTAGTGAGCACATCCAGCGCAGCATTGCATTTCCTGTTGCAAAATTTGTAGTATAATTTTTAGTTTTCTATTTTCCCCTCAATAAATCTGTGGTTTGTTCAAAGAAGACTATGTGCATGATTAAATAAAATTCATCACTACTTTATTCCAGAATGTTGACCCTTCAGTAACTCAAAATGTGTATACCAAAGCCTTGTCTTCATTTTCACATGAAAATCAGTTTCTTACTATAAACCCAAAATTGCATTTTCCATCTCTTTTGTTTCTAGTATTTGCAATAGAAAACTCTTTATCATCAGTTTATTATAAACATAACAAGTTCTTTTTACTAAGAAGCACTTTGAAATGATGCTGAAATACATCATTACTGAGAAGAGTTAGATATTCAATGAAAATCTTCCTTAATTCAAAATATAGTATCTTATTTCAAGTACATTTTTATCCTTCTCATTCAAACATTGCTCTAGGAAGACCAACGGCAACTTTGTACTATGGCAAATGCCCTGGACGACGGTGGTATGACACCTGAACTGGCTGAAATAATAAAACGACTGTGGAGAGATCCAGGAATCCAGGCCTGCTTTGAAAGGGCCTCAGAATATCAGCTTAATGACTCGGCAGCTTAGTAAGTAAATGCATTCTGACACAAATTAAAAATCTAGTTGTGTTACTGGAATT